CAGTTATCAGAAGTTTGAGAGTGATTAATGCATATATGAAAAAGAAAGAGAGACTTGTGACATACACTATCACAAAATCCCCAACAACTAGAACAGAGTCAACAGAACAACCCCTCAAATGCAAAAGAAAAGAAATAATAAAAATCAGGGCATTGTTAAACGAGTGCGAAGACACAAGAAAAATGCAAAAAATCAATGCAGCAAAACTGATTCTTTGAAAGGATCAAGGAATTGACTGACAGCTGGTAAAGCGAACCAAGGAAAGGAAGGAACAAACAAACAGTAATAGCCAAAATGAGGGTTGAAAGTGGGGAAATCACAATAGAGCCCAATGAAATTACAAGGATAGTCACAAAGTACTGTGAAAGTCTATATTCCAATGAATTCAACAACATGGAAGACATGGACAAATACTTGGAAAAACAATCCTTCCAATATTATCCCAGATAGAGGTCAAGAACCCCAATAGGCCCATAGCAAAAGGAGAAATATATATTTAGGTCTTAAGAAACTACCAACAAAAAAGCTCCTAGACCAAACAGCTTCACAGGAGAATTCTACAAAGCATTCAGGAAAGAGCTGGCATTGATTCTCCACAAATTATTCCAAAACATAGATAGAAAAGGATGTCAAACTCCCAAACTCATTCTACAAAGCCAGTATAACTTTGATACCCAAAAAGGGCAAGGATCACACAGCAATAGAGAACTACCAACCGATAATCTCTAATGAAGATAGATGCAAAAATCCTTAACAAAATATTGGCTAATAGAATGTAAAAGTATATAAAACATATCATCCATCATGATCAGGTGGGATTCCTTTCAGAGACGCTGGGATGGTTCAAAATCCAAAAGTGCATACACATAACCCATCACATTGATAAGGAAAAGGATAAGAATGACATGATACTATAAATAGCTGCAGAAAGAGCATTTGACAACATTCAACATCCATTCCTAATTAAGACATTTAAGCAGATAGGAATGCTGGCAGTGATAGAGCAACATGAAAGAGTGTTAGGATACAAGATCAGCAAACAGAAATGTATTGGTTTTCTATACACATCATATAAACCATGGAAGATGAGATCAAGAAAGTGGTACCTTTCACAATGGCCAAGAACAAATGGAAATATCTAAGGATATATCTAACAAAAAAAGAAGACTTATACAAGGAAAACTACAAAACCCTACTACAAGAACTGGAAGCAAACCCCACAAATTCAAGACTATCCAATGCTCACGGATCAGAAGACTCAATATAGTAAAGATGTCAATCTTACCCAAGGCACTAATATAAGTTTAACACTATCCCAATTCAAACACCAAGAACCTTCCTCAAAGAATTAGGAAAACTGATCACCAACCTCCTATGGAGAGGGAAGAAGACCAGAATTAGAAGAGAACTCTTCAAGAAGAAGGACAGAGTCAGAGTGCTCACTTGACCTGACTTTAACAACTCCTATACAGCCACAGCGGTCCAAACAGCATAATATTGGAATAGTAACAGATATCAGCCCAATGGAAAAGAACAGAAAACCCCAAAATAAAACCATCAGCATTTACACAACTGATCTTCAACAAGGGCCCATAAAGCATCAAGTTGGAGGTAGATGCTCCAATGTTTATTGCAGTGTAATTCACAATCGCAAAGAATTGGAAACAACCTAAATTTCCATCGATAGACCAGTGGATTAGAAAACTCTGACACATACGCACAATTGAGTACTATATATCTCTTAAAAGCACTGATGGAGCACGTTGTCTCATGGGAAGAGTTGGAGGAAAGTATGCTAAGCAAAGTTAGCCAATCACAAAAGAACAAGTATAACAGGAGTCCACTGAGGTAAGTATAATCAGCACAGTAGGTAGAGAAGAAAAGCCACTTATCTCACACTATATGGCTTGAGGTACAAGCAATTGGGCAGGGGACAAACCAAACCCAAGGTTGTACATGTAATTCCATCACGAAGAAGGAGAAAGGGGGTGGGTGGGAGGAGGGAGGGAGGGAGAAAAGAGGGAGACAATGGTCTTGGGGGAGCAGAGCACTAATCCATCCAGGGGAAGTATTCTTTATGTCTTCACAGAAATGGAAGTGTGAGTGCAAGCCCCACCACAGCGTGCCAAACCTAGTGGATGACATAACCACATGGAGCAACTCGCGGACAGAGAGGTCTAAAGGGCCAGCCACAATAAGAGCCAAAGTGACCCCGTCCCTAGAAGTATGTGCTATGGAGGACAACACTAAACCTACAGGTTGGGGAGAAGGGCCGGCTTGCCATGCCCACACAGAAGCAAACCAAGAAGGAAAAAGAGAGAGTGAAGGACAGACACCCCCCCCCACCCCATACAGGAACACCAAGCCCTGCGGACGACGTCCCCGCACAGAGCTGCTAAGGCACAGAGAGGAGGCCTGTCGGGCAGACAACAGCTCAAAATATGATGTGCCCTCCCTGAAGCATACTGGGACAGAGGACAATACTGGAGACACATGGCAGGGAGTTTGTCCTGTCTGACACCCCCCACCTCCCCAATGGGAAGAACCAAGAAGGGATCATGACGATCAGCCACGGGAGAAAAGCAAATCAAAGAGCCCCTAGGGAGCCCTCAAAATAGACGTCAGGCTAGAGGGGCAGTTCCTGAACCCCTTGACCTTTGGGAAGATAGTCATAAAGGTCAGCATACAGATATGGAATTATATGTTCTTTTTCAGGGTTTTTTTCTTATTCTCTTTTTATTTGATCTTTTGTTTTCTTTTTGTTTTGTCTGTTATTATTGTTTTGCCTACCTATATAAGAATGGCATGGGAAGCAAGCCTGAGCAGAAAACATCAAGATCGATGGTTCTGGAGGGACTTGGGGGAAGGAGGAGGCAGGGGAAGAGAGCAGTGAGCAAACAACACCATAGACAGGGGACAAAACAGAAAATGAAAATCAACAACGCAGAGGATGTAGAGATCCTGGTGGTGCTGTAGCAACAGCAATCTAGCAGAGAGAAATTACTAAGAAGAAGAAGAAGGCTGAGCATGATGGTGGGCAGAAGGAAGGTAAAAGTAAACAGAGGAAAGATCTAGGAAGCAGAGCAATGGACAGAGATATAACCATAGGTATGTATATGTAAATAAATTAATTCATAAAATAGAGGTATTGGCCTATGTACATATATTTTTATGACAATACATTGAGGAAGTGGAAGGACTTTGGGCCTCTGCTCAAGCCCTCCTTCAACATAAGAACACTTTGTTCTAACAACTTGGCATTCTGTGATGCTCACCTTCCCAACATGATCGCTGAAGTCAAATGTGGTGAAGACAGCTGATGGTGCCCAGCTATCAAAAGATACAGCATCTGGGGTCTTAAAGATTTGAAGTTAAACAATTGGCTATCTAGCAGAGAACCAACAAGCCCACATGGTAAAAGCACACCAGGCTGTGTGATTATGAGGTGTCAACTGGATCAGGTAACAGGCATCAGAAGACCCAAAACAAATAATCATATTGTTGAGAATGAGGGGGATTGGAGCAGAGATCCCAAACCCATCTCTGGACAATGGGATATCCCCTTACAGAAGGGACACAAGAAAAGGATGAGTCAACCAGGGTGAAGATGAAACACACAATATTTTTCTGGTTCTCTGAGGCTTCCTCAACCCCTACTATCATGTCCCCAGTCCTGCCTTTCAGTTCTGGCTAGAACAGAGCATCTACACTGGTACAGATAGGAGCTCATGACACACGGACTCCAGGTCAGGTAAACCCCTTAGGAACAGAAATGGGAATAGTGATACCAAGGGAATAGTGGGACTGGGAATAGTGATACCAAGGCGGAAGATGGGCTGAGATGGACTGAGAAGATGAGAAGATGGGCTGAGATGGGGGAGAAGAGGGAACCGATCAAAATGAAGGATGCATAATCCCCCACCCCCACCCTAAAGGGGATAAAAACAGAAACATGGGTGAAGGGAGACAGCAGTCAGTGAAAGATATGAAAATCATAATTTATAATTTATCAAGGGTTCATGAGGGTGGGAGAGTGGGGAACGAGGGGAAAAGAGGAGCTGATACTAAGGGCTCAAACAGAAAGTAAATGTTTAGAAAAGATGGTGGCAACATACATACAAATATGCTTGATACAATTGATGTATGGATTGTGATAGTTGTAAGAACTGCAAGCACCCCCGATAAAATGATCTTAAAAAGTTTTCTTTTAATCTATGCACAGTCTGGTGTACTTTTTATTTCTAGGTATTTATTTTCCTATTTTTCTTTTATTGCAGACACTTGCATTATATTGTCAGTATTCATTCCTACCAAATTAGATGCATGTGTACACAGAGATGTTTATATATTTGTATATACAACCTTTTTGCATGCTTGTTATAGCCTTTTAGTTTTCTTTACTAATTTTTGACACATTGAAACAAGAAACAATATTTATACAGAATGAGTTGTTATCTTTTCTCTGGGGTTACATTCTTTGTGTTGTGGATAAAATTTTTCCCCTCTAAATTATATACATAGTGGATCGGATTGGATAGCATGTATAAAATGTATGAACATTTATATTTATTTTTATTTTACTTTGGATTTTGAGTACCAAATTACTATAGAACCTATAGTCATATACCTTTTACCCAGAAGAATAGATGCTTAACCCAAATAAAATGTGTTGAAACATGTCTGTCATTAATAGATGGTTGCAGAAAATTTACCTTGGTATAATAAATGGTGCATTAAAAGAGGCCCACCTTTTCATATTGAATCTAAGGTTAAATAAAATAAAATAATATTATATGTTGCTTCTATAATTGTAATAATTGTCTTAAACAAAACAGCAATTGTGAGAATAGAACAGGATTGGGAAATACTTTGTTGTGTTGTGCATCGTGCCCCTGAGAGTCAGAGCTGGCTGAATGGCACTGCAGCAACAGCGCATGTATAATACCACATGAGAAATACGAAACAAAGTCCTGCCTGTGCTACAGATGTGTGTCACTAACCTGTGGCTTGCCACAATCACATTGTTCCTGACCTTCCAGAATTCCATTGCCACAAACCGCATGGTCTTGTCTTCCTTGGATTGCCACCTTCGAAGCTATTTGATTTTGAAGACATACAAATTCAGGCCCTCCAACTATATTTTTAAATTCATCCAGGCTGCAACTGCTAAAAAACTTTACACCACGGGAATGTCTAAAATTAAATTATATTCATTAGATAAATGGAATAAAGTCATCACAGCGAATTTTAGATTATATGACAATCTTCATTATTTCCTAAATATGTAATATATTTTTGCTTTTTCTCATACATATTACAAGATAATATTTTACTTTCCATACTCCATAAATCTATTGACATGTGCTTTGTTATAAAAGCATTTATTATAAAATCCAAGTACCTGTATTATCATCTCCTGAGTTAGTTCTTTTCTTCCTTTTCCCATATACTTCTGGCTTGAACTTATTTTTATTAGGCTCTATTTATTCATATTTCTTTACTTACCTACAATCACTTAACTGTTTAAACTTCTATAACACAAACTGGACAAAAGTGGTGATAATTTGATGAGTACATTAAGCAAGTCCTTATCAAGGTATCAATTTCCAGGTGATAATTTGATGAGTACGTTAAGCTAGTCCTTATCAAAGTATCAATTTACTTGCTAACCCTGAAGTTTTCCACAAGGTGTCTAAACAACCAATTAAGGTCTTCTCTTTAAACTGTCAAAATAACTAATCCTTCTTCAGGGAAACATATCCAGTCCAATTTACCATAAGCAGTTCCTTTTCTACATTCTTCCTTTTATTTTGTTCTATACTTTATAATTAGTGTAAGCTGTTCTTGCTTATTCTTTTGTCCACTTTTAAATGACATTTTCTTTCCATGATGGAGCAATATGAAGTATTTTAAATATACTTCTGAACCATTAGAAGAGAAATGAACAAAACTCCTGGGAAAGAGCAATCTGAATATGCAATCATTTCTAGCTAATTCCAGCTCTCAATTCTAGTAACTTCCATAAATTCATAATCAATGTCTACACTTTTATGTAATATTAAATGTAGAACTATTAAGCACATTTCTCTACAACAATATAGACTCATTCTGTTTATTAAATTATAAATAAAATATATTCAGAAAAGAACTCTAGTTATATGCAAGATATATATCAAAGACTACATATTTTTCAGAAATAAGATATATATTTGATAAAAATAACATCTTACATTGCCTCGGGATTCATTATACATGTATTTCCTGAACAGTAACACTTGTAGATGTCATCATATGTCAATCCCAGATTCACTGCAAGCAATTGTGTCATAACGACTGAAAATTCCTCCAAAGTTGTCATTTTAGGATACTAATCAGAAAAAAAGAGCACAGTCAAAGATTTTTGACCCTATAACCTAAACTCTAACATAAATACAAAATTAAAAACTAGTCAGTCAAAGAAAAAAGTTATAAGTATTAAAAAATAAATAAATCTTTTTGCTTCAGTTGAATATTTTTTAGAGTTTTCATATAATAGGATTAATACTGTCAAATATTGGGGCTTTTAAAAATTAATTTTCAAAAGCCTGAAATTATTTTTGGGACATAGGATATTTTTTCCAGTGAGTACATGATTTTTCAAGAGAAAGAGTGACTTTCTTGTCCCATAAACAGAGTCACAAACACTCACGGGCTGTTCTCCCTGTCTTACAGGGTCACCCCGAGGTGGGATCGACTCCGTGTCAGTGAGCAGACGAATTTTCAATTTATCGTTTGGAGAAATAGATTGTGAAGTGCCGAATTCACAATAAAAGTTGATCTCAAAAAAGCAATTATAGGAGCAGTGCTTTTTATTTTTTTTAAGTTTCCAGGTATAATAGGCAACATCTTTTGAGCTGCACATATTTTATCTTAATAAATAATATTTGAGACTTTAGGAAAAATAACAGTTGAGTAGGTATAAGTCCTCAATCTCACCCAACCGCACAAAGGACCAAAAAGTACAAAGCTTCAATAGCCAGGACAAAAATTCAATATACAGCCCAGATGAATTCTCAATAAATGGAAAATATAATGTTGTAAGATCTACAGTGGGGCCCAAATTAATAATGACGACCATATGGTAGAGAAGCAGATTTTCTACAAGAGGCCTGCTCCCCTTCTTCTTGGTACCATGACCCACAGATGGTTCCAGAGAACATCAGTATTAACATCGTGTGCCCCAAAGAATGGATGGTTTGCCAATATTAAACAAAACTTTAGCTCTGGATGAAATTAACAAAACATACAATTTTCCCGATGAACCATTAAAGGTGTTCTTAATCAAACTTTTTGGTGCCTGTAATAGATAGCAGCTGTAATTCCAGTAAACATACATAATGCCTCAGTAGGGAAAATAATCTTATCTCTAATGAAGAGTGTTGTTGTTAGGGGCCATCATGTCTGTTGTGATCTTATGCGCAACAGAATGAAAAACTGCATGATCCTGGGCCATCCTTACAATTGTTCCTGTGTCTGAGCTCATTGCTGCAGCCACAGTGTCAACCCATTTCATTGAGGACCTTTCTCTTTTGTTCGCTGACACTCTACTTTATGGAGCATGATGTCCTTCTCCAGCGACTGGTCTCTCCTTATAATATGTCCAACGTATGTAAGATAAAGATTGTCCATGCTTGCCTCTCACGAGCAATCTGGCCGTACTTCATCCAAGACAGATCAGTCCTTTGACCAGTCCATGATACTTTCAATTTTCTTCTCCAGCACCCTAATTCAAACACATTGATTCTTCTTCAGTGTTCCTTATTCAAAGTCCAACTTTCACATGTCTTTGAGGCAATGGAAAATACCATGGCTTGGAACAGTAGCATCTTAGTCCTCAAAGTATTATCTTTGCTTTTCAATTCTCTAGAGAGTTCTTATGCAGGTTTACCTAATACAATACATCATTTGGTTTCTTTACTGATACTTCCAAAAGCATTGATCATGGATCCAAACAAAACAAAATTTTTGACAACTTCAAACTTCTCTCCGTTTATCATGTTGTTACCTATTGGTCTAGGTGTAAGGACTTTGGTCCTTGTTACATTGAGTTGTAATCCATTCTGAAGGCTGCAATGATTGATGACCTGCATTAGCACGTGCTTCAAGTGCTCCTTACTTTCAGCATGCGAGGTTGTGTCATTGGCATATCCCAGATTGTTAATAAGAATCCCTCCAATCCTGTGGACACATTCTTCTTTATATAAGCCAGACTCTCTGATTATTTGCCCAGCATACATACTGAACACGTAAGGTGCTAGGATACAACCCTGATTTTAAGCCATGTGATTTTCCCTTTTTCTGTTTGCACAACTGCTTCTTGATCCATCTACAAGTTCCACATGAGCACAATGAAGAGTTCTGGTATTCCCATGCTTGTGAAGGTTATCCATAGTTTATTATGACCCAAAGAGTTGAATGCCTTTTCCTGGTCAGTACAACATAAGTAAATATCTTTCTGGTATCCTCTGCTTTGAACCAAGGTCCACCTGACATCAGCAAATGATATCCTTTGTTCTACATCATCTCCTGAATTCAGACTGAACCAGCCATTCCTTGTCAGTGTACTGCTGCAATTTCTTTTGAATGAACTTCAGCAAAATTTTACTTGTGTTGTGATATCAATGATATTGCTCTATAGATGGAGTGATCTGTTTGGTCATCTTTATTTGAAGTGGGTATAAATAGGGATCACTTTCAGTCAGCTGGCCAGGCAGCTGTCGTCCATATGTCCTGACATTGTGCTATTAACCTAGTCTTTTTCCAGAATATGTTGCTGTCAAAAACAACAAATAGTGGGGGAAATTATGTGAGCTGACATATAACAAAATTTAAAATACTAATGTTCTGACCTCAACATTACAACACACACACACACAATGAAATGGAAAGGCTTCCTCAAATTAGCAGTGTACGCAGTGGAATGACTAACTGCAGATGGCGACTAAAGGAAGATAGATGTGAAATAGAACAAAATTCATGGAATAGACAGACTCTGAATTCTAGAAATCAGCTCAAAACATAAAACATCTGGGAAAGCAAAATGAGTTATGAACCTGGAAACTAGGTAGAAAAATTTTTCTCACATTACTGAGTGACTCTCTCTTCCCTAACACTCAGAAGTAAGTGGTAGGTCAAAGTTCCCAGACATAGACTGAACAACCAACTAAACTTTGAACTGTTCTCATTTCTCAAGAGGCTAGTGAAACCACCTACTTTCACTAAAGGCCTACTAGAAAATAGTGGACACTTCTGGGACCCCCCCATAGAGGTCAGAATACCTGGTTGGCACCAGGTTTAGGGTTTGCACAATTTGGATAAACAAAGCTAAAATGTAAGATCTAGTGGTGCTTTCATACATCAAATCAATTTGCAAGATAAAATCTTTTCATAGCTCTGATCAGTGCTGTAAGAAACATCTTGACAGAGCATCAGTTGCCGGTTGATCTCCCCAAGGAAGAGTCCCATCATCAAAGAGCAAGAGACAAGAAAGGAGGCTGACAGAGCCATTTATCTCTCCGCCCTTCAATTAATTCCACACGTGTTCATTGGCCAGGCTGGCACAATAAACATACCTATCACAATCCACCCCTTGCCAACTTGGCACCTGAACACAATTTTTCCGTCATATATAATTTCCGGACATTAACAAAATCACACTTCTACTTAACATCAAACTTCTATCAGACATATAAATGGAAACACACTGAGTCCAATTGTATCTGATATATCATACATGAACAAAAGACAGATATTCAATAAGCACATATAAAGAAAATAAACTGACAATCAGAAACCTCATTTTTGCAACTGATCATGTGGTCAACTGATAGGTAGAACTTCCTTCTTCTACTACCCATTCTGTATTACCTTTGCCCTCGGCAAGCACCTCAGTTGGCAGTTGGTTGTTTTTTGGCCTGGTGGGGTGACCCAGACCTTCATTCCTGAGGGTTCTGGGTCATTAGATGTCCTGTCAAGAATAGGTTGCTGTAACTTACCATTTACTTTAATCACAGGTTTTGGTAGTGCTAAGTAAGAGTCAGCCTACAGTATCTCCTGGATTCCAGACACAGACATATTCTTCTTTATCTCCATTATATAGCACCTGTCCAATTTCTCCTTGGTAATCAGGATCAATCACACCACTCAGTACAGTGACACCCTTCCTGACCTGTTGATCCAAAGGCATGAGAAGCCCAAAGTGGCCAGGGGGCAATCTCAGCTGCTAGTTCAGTGGAATCCGTGCTGTATTTCCAGGTGGGAGAGTTCCTTCCTTTGGGATCAGGAAGTAAAAGTGCTGCAAGTGGATCACTAGGAGTTCCTGGACCCATGAATTCTGGTTATTGGAGACACGTCACCATATATTGGCAGCTGGTTTAGAGGGTATACAGCTTCCTGGAGAACATTGCCCCAGCCCACAAGTTGTTGCCACCTAGCTGGTGCCATAATTGTGTCTTTAGGAGCCCATTACATCATTCTATCGAGCCAGCTGCTTCAGGATGATGAGGAACGTGATACGACCAGTGGATTCCATGGGAATGGGTCCATTGCTGCACTGCATTTTCTGTGAAGTGAGTTCCTTGATCTGAAGCAATGCGATGTGGGATGCCATGCCAGTGGATGAGGCATTCTGTAAGCCCATGAATGGCAGTTTTGACAGAAGCATTATGTACAGGGAAGGCAAATCCATGTCCAGGGCAGGTGTCTATTCCAGTAAGAACAAAATGCTGCGACGAGTTTCGTGTTTTGCTCTTGTTTTCATTGAGTTTCTTTCCTGATGATCTGTCTTTCCTAGAGTGTGGGGTGCCACGAAGTCTCCCACTGTTATTGCTGTATTGTAATAATTTCACTCTTCAGCTCTGAGTTTTAGTAATGTATTTTGAGGGTTTTTCACTGGATTGTATACATTTATTAGGGTTACATTTTCTTGTTTACTGTTTTTTTCATCACTGTGTATGACTTGTTGCCTCATGTTGGATCTTGAAATCCATTTTGTCAGAAATCGATATTGCCACTCTGCTTTTTTGGTTGCCATTAGCTTGGTAAGTTTTTCTCCTTCGATTTTTCAGTCTAGTTTTGTCTTTGTGTTTAGGGTGTATTTCCTGTACGCAGCATATTAATGTCTTGTTTTCTTATCCAGTCTGCCACTCTGTCTTTTGCTGGTGCATTTAATTCATTCACATTTGTTATCATTATTGATATGTGTGGGTTGGTTGATGCCATTTTGCTGTGTGGTATTATTTTATATGTGTAGTTTAATGGTTTTCCTAATTCTTCCTATGTTGATGTGTTGTTCTGAATACTGTGTTTAATGTGCTGCCTTCCTGGGGT